TTATTGGGTACCCCAATTTCGAGGGGTTCCTCGTGAATGCGTTAACCTTTTTTTCAACCTCACAGACGCACGCGCACCCATGCTCTTCTTCATTGTGCTTTGTGCAGTCACATGTGACCATCTCTGTTTTTTTGTGTTGACGTCTCACTCACTCCAACCCTTTGCTCTCTCTCAAATTTTACTTCCTACTAATAACCTTCTTCACTGTGTGTTTCATGGAATCACTAAACTTACACAGACGAATCAAGTTCACCTCTGTTTTAACATCCATGAATGTTGTTCCGACTCCCAACAATCAATTTAATATTAGAGGTCAACAGGGTCTGTGAAAAGGGGACATTACAATTATGACGACGGAGTTAAGGTTGTTTGGACATGGATTATTACATAACACAAATTCGATAAGGCTATGCTTGTTTGGAATAATATAGGAAGACTTTCTTTATTTCATATTTATTTTTAAAGAAAAAAATATTTCAATTTTTATGTTTATTTTGAATGGATGTAATATTTTTATGGGTTAAACATAATTTCACGTCATATTGAAATTTATTTATTTTTGAAACTTTTGATATATTTTAATTTACACACTTTAAAAATGAATTAATACGATTTTTTTAACTCAATTGCGTTAAATTTTTTTATGAGTCAAATGTATTTCATGTTGTCAAGTTCTTTATAGGCTTAATTACTTACTTAGTCTCCATGTTAGGAGGTAATTTTCTGTTTAGTACCCGGTTTTAAAAATGTAGGCATTTGGTACCTATGTTTTGAAATTTGTATCAATTCAATCCTATCCAGTTAACGGCGTTATAATTGATGCGAGAAATTAAGGACGTTAATGATAGCCTGGGTGGAATAGCTATCAAATGTTTGAATGCATAACGTCCTTAATTTCTCGCATCAATTATAACGCCGTTAACTGGATAGGATTGAATTGATACAAATTTCAAAACATAGGTACCAAATGCCTACATTTTTAAAACCGGGTACTAAACAGAAAATTACCTCCTAACATGGAGACTAAGTAAGTAATTAAGCCTATAAAGAACTTGACAACATGAAATACATTTGACTCATAAAAAAATTTAACGCAATTGAGTTAAAAAAATCGTATTAATTCATTTTTAAAGTGTGTAAATTAAAATATATCAAAAGTTTCAAAAATAAATAAATTTCAATATGACGTGAAATTATGTTTAACCCATAAAAATATTACATCCATTCAAAATAAACATAAAAATTGAAATATTTTTTTCTTTAAAAATAAATATGAAATAAAGAAAGTCTTCCTATATTATTCCAAACAAGCATAGCCTTATCGAATTTGTGTTATGTAATAATCCATGTCCAAACAACCTTAACTCCGTCGTCATAATTGTAATGTCCCCTTTTCACAGACCCTGTTGACCTCTAATATTAAATTGATTGTTGGGAGTCGGAACAACATTCATGGATGTTAAAACAGAGGTGAACTTGATTCGTCTGTGTAAGTTTAGTGATTCCATGAAACACACAGTGAAGAAGGTTATTAGTAGGAAGTAAAATTTGAGAGAGAGCAAAGGGTTGGAGTGAGTGAGACGTCAACACAAAAAAACAGAGATGGTCACATGTGACTGCACAAAGCACAATGAAGAAGAGCATGGGTGCGCGTGCGTCTGTGAGGTTGAAAAAAAGGTTAACGCATTCACGAGGAACCCCTCGAAATTGGGGTACCCAATAACTCAAGGGTAGTTAATGCCTTAAAATACCCTTTCATCCTTCTCTTTATGTTCAAATAAATGTTCCCTTCTATAATTTATTCATTTCATTTCATCCAAGTCGTATAATCAAATCTAGATGCATTGGTCAAGTTTAGTGTATTTCTTTTACTCTGATTTAGTTATTTCTAATAGGGTTGACTGGGTTTGTTTTTTATTTCACAACTCAATCAAATAAAACCTAAGTATAGGTAAGTCGGATTGAGTTTGGCCATACAAAAAATACCATCTTTTAAAACTATTTTAAAATAAATACTTTTTAATGATAATTTTTTATAAAATTTATAATTTTACATAATTAAGTTTAAAATTATAAATATATTATTTAAATAAATATTAAATATGTTTTTTTATCTCATAATTTTCAATAAAAAATAAAATTAGTTAATCTTCAAAATTTTAATCTAATTTAATTTTTTAACTTTAGAATATTTTAATCAAATTTTATTAAATTTATTTGTGGCTTTAAATACATTTCATAATAACGTTTATGTATATTTTTCTAAAATATTAATTGAAAAATACGTTTAAAATATTAAATAAATTTAATGAAATTTGAATAAAATATTAAATTCATATAATTAAAAACTAAATTAATTCAAAATTTAAAAAAAAATTAATTTCGATTTTTCACTTAAAATTAAAAATAAAAACATATTTAACTCTTTAAATAATTTGAAGTTAATAAATTATAATCTGCATAATATAATCGATTTGATTATGATATTAGAGTATCTTTGAGTTATTCTTTAAAGTTTTAATTTATAATTTTTATTCAAATAAGGATCTTGTATTTATATTAATATTTTATTGGATTGTTTATATAATATATATATATATATATATATATATATATATATATATATATATATATATATATATATATATATATATATCTAAAATAGAAAAGTATGTATTTTCTTTTTTTACAATTCAGGACCTTATTTTTATTTTATTTTATATGAGCGTGGTCTGATGAAGAGATCTTATGTAACATAAATCTTAATATTATGATGTAATGTATACTTCCTATTATGGAGAAGTATTTCGAAATCATACGTAGGATCATAAGTTCGAAATACAGTCATAAAATCCTCTCATTAATTATAATATATTATACGAGAAATTATAAGATTTTAAGTTTTAAATAAGATCACAAATCATAAAAAATAGAATAATTAAATTTTTTTCAACAATCAAATAATAGATTAATTAAGGTGTGAAACTTATAAAATCCTTTAATTTAGATAAAGATAGTTAAAACAATCTAAAAGTAATATGATAGAATTTTTTTTACAAAAAAGAAGTAAACATACAATTCAGAAACTCAAATTTGTTGAGTTCCCAATACAAAGTTTGTAAGCAATATTTGATTTAAGTGAACTTGTAGAAATATGGATTATATAATCCAATTGAAAATACTAAGTTTAGAATATAGTGAGAATAATAACACGAGACAAGGTAACATGAGAAATGTGAAACCATTAATATGGAGGCGTAAAAAATATCCAGTGTAGACATTTACACGTGATCATATTGAATTTATAATAATTAATTATCCATGTCATTAAGTTTTTAATAACCAAAGGACAAAAGTAATCTTTTTGATTTAATTAAGAAAAAATTAGAGTTATAATTAAAAGTTATCAATTTGTCGAATAACCTAAAACCAATTTAACCTAAATATAATAGTTGCTTGGTTAAAAGGAAGAACAAAAATAAAAATGATGCAATTAAAGGAGTTCGTAAAGTAAAATAAAACTAAGTGAATTTAATTATTTTTCATTTCATTTTTAATTATTTTTCTATTTTTTATTGAATTAAATACTTTTACATTGAAGAAACTGAGGAATAATTATTGTTTGCTTGTGTTAAAGTTTGCCAGAAAAAAAACACAAAAAGTAAATCGATAATTATATAAATGATCAAATTAATAAAAAAATTATTTTACCATAAACCACTCTACTTTTCTTATTTTCTATTATATTTTTCTTAAAATTTTTTATTTTTTTATATATTTTTTACTTTGTCAATTTTTCATAAACTTAATCTAATATTTTTTTTAGTTTTTTAATTTTATTAATTTATTATGAATAAATAATCCGTCTAATATAGTAAAAATTGATATATTTAATTTATATCATGACAAAAAAATTAAAATCTTAATATTAAAAAATAATTTTTATTAGTTATTTGAATTTCATTAATAACTACTATAATTAAATATATATTTAATATTTAGCAACGGTGATCTCTTTATTTATAAATGTGTAGCTTAATAATACAATAGAATCAATATTTTATTTTCTTCTCTAAAACTAATAAATAAAAAAATCGAAGGGTGTCCAAAGAAAGAAGCAACCAGCTTTAACCTTTAAAGTCCTTTTCTGATGCATTGGAAGACACGTTTGAGCAGCAAGAAAATAGCTGATAAAAGTTCATCACACCATTTAAAATTCAATCCAAACAAAAGGAGAATACACTTCACTACTTCACTTTCACACATTCTTGGATTCCATTCAACTTCTTACATTTTTTAATATAAATTTTTACTTCAAAATCTAGTACTACTTTCTGTATTTATCTTTTTTTTTAATTTGTTTAAATAAAGAAAAAATATATAAAATGAGAGTTTTTTTTTAACTTGAATAAAACAAGTAAACTTGAAATAGTACACATTGACTTTAATTTGAATATATATTATTTAACAAGAACCACCCATGTTTCTATATTGTGTTGATGAAATAACTTGTGGGTTTGAAAATGAAGTCCATTTCGTTTTTTTTTTTATATACACTCTCTTATTTGTTCGAATTAAATACAATTAAAAAAAATGAAATGTAAAACAAACCAAATTTTATAAATTTTGATTAATTTCTGTTTAAAAAATGTTGGTATCCTTTTTGAGAGAATTCATGCATGGTAGCACAATTTTGTTTTTATTTCAAGTCTTAGCTCAACAAAGGTAAAAAGGCTACTCTGAAGTACTGAATCTATGACATGCCTGAATAAAAAAGCTTGACATATAAAAAATACATTAAATTTTAGAAACTAGAAGAAAATAATGAATATTTTTAATAAAAGAATTTCCAGCTTTAACATTCTTTATGAGGAGCCTTTTTCTGTGACATTGTCTTGGGATATTACACAGAAGCAAACAAAACTAGCAACACATAACCCTTTGAATTTTCACCTTACTCGTTGTTTTCTCATACCCTTACCTCTTTGTCCCTCTGCTTCTCACTGTGAAACTTCTTTATCTCCCTTCTCTTCTTTTTACCTCACTTTGCTTTCATTCTCCATACCCTGTCAACTTCACTTTTTCTACCCTTCTCTCTCTCTCTCTCTCTCTCTCTCATCACACATTCTCCTCTTTTTAAATCCTTCACCTCCAACTCTGAGAGCCTCAACCACAACCCTTTTTCCTCGTTCAGTCATCACTCAACACACTCCTTCACTTCACAGACACTTTGTGTAGCTGCAATGGAAGTAAGTCATAATAAGTCTTTGTATTGTATTGCTGTTGTTCTACATGTTTTGTTATGCTACTTGTTTAGTTAATTTTCATGTTTGAGTTTATTGGTGATTTTGTATCTATGTTATTCCCACTTGGTGTATGTTTTGATGTAAGTTCTTAAACTTGTATGTGAAAACTGAGGTTTTAGTCAAAATTTGAACTTGTTAATGTATTCTTTAAAGGGTAATCAGTAATATGGAACTGAAGTCACTCTCTCTAAACTGATAGAAAAATCAGAGTCAGAAAATCAAGCGTAGTGTTATGTTTTGGGGTTATTGATACTGTAAAAGAAAACTGATGGAAGTGACTGAACAAATATGTATAAATTTTTAAAACATTGTGACTGTTTTTCTTGTGATACAAAGAGTGATTTTTGTTGCTGATGTGTTGATTTCTTGTGTAGGAATATTACTACAAGAGGCATCATGTGCCAGCATTTGGGAGCTGGGATTGGAATGATAATCTTCCCTTCACTCAGTGCTTTGAGTCTGCAAGACAAGCTGGTTTGTTAAGATACAGTTATTCTGAGTCTGAAGATAGAGACCTTTATGTCACTGGGGACTTGTATGAGAATGATGTTGTCACACCTGCTATGATTGTTGTTCCTCGTAGAAGGGTATGTGTATGTTCAATATGCTTCTAAGTTCTTCTTTTTCTGAATTTTTCCTTGGTGTTTTTTTCTTAGGATAAACTTCTTAGTCAGTCATGCATGAGTTTTTATTTTAGTTAGTGGTGAAACTGCATATTTCTTCTTCACTCTGTGTTGGCTTAACACCACTTGTTTCTGGTTAGCTGTAAGAGAAATGAAAGTTCCTTGTACAGAAACAAGAGTTTTTTCTGCTAGAATATAAGTTAATCATTGCTTGTATGAGTCGTTCACGTTAGTAGGAGATTATTAAAGTGATTAAAGTGACACTCAAGTATTGCTCTATAATTAACCTGTGTGCACAATATTAAAGGCACAAATTAGTTAAACAGTTCACTGTCTTTTGAGCATTTTTTATGTTATCTTGTGCTTGATCATGATAAAGGGTCTTGTATTTTCAATTTTGTTAAACCAAGGTTGGTGCATCAAAAGAAGGTGAAAATTAATGACAAGAAAACGAAGTTCCAATGTTTCATCCATATGACAGGGTTAGACCATGAGTGTTGAAAAACAAAACAACTTTTGTCTTCTTCTTTCTCTGTGGCATTTCTTTATACTATGTAGACACACTTTATTGTGGGCCCTACTATAGTAAATGACACTCATGATTCATGCCACAGGGTGAGAAATTATTAACACAAACTTTTCCAATAGCACACAGATTGCTGGTGAAGTTGTGTATCTGACAATGATTAACAGTTTTAAATTAATACTTTTATAATAAAGTATGATTATAAATAACTCAGTGCAGTAGGTGCAACTTTAGGCTTTATTGTCCATGTCGATTGGTCACTAAAAACACAGACAATTGGATCCATTGGTGTCATACCAAGGTAGTAAAGTAATCAAAGATGAAATTTTCAATGTAATGATGAGTAATGTAGCATACAATGAAGGGTAAACATTCATGTCTAACATCTTCAAAGGTCACTTTCTTTTTTTTCTTCTGATGGGGTTCTTAACTTGTTGCTGACAATGTAGGAAAAGGTACGTTGCCAGCATGAAAAAGAAGCAAAAAAGCAGAATTGGGTGAGTAATGTGAAGGAGCTATCTAGCCCAACTAATCCAATTCCAAGACCAAAACCAAAGCCTGTTGATGAAGACTTGTACAAGATCTCACCAGAGCTACTTTATGCCAAAACTAGGAAGGTCTTAATTCTTTAACCCTTTTAACTTTTCTTCTCCACTAACATTACATTTTGGTTGAGCTTTATTGCTTTCATAATAATCTCAAAATTCATTGCATATTCAAAACCTTTTCCTATTGAATCTTTAGCAAAAGTTTTGACAAATTTCCTTTCGTTATTGTTATTTAACCTTTTGCTTTAGATGAATGCAGAAGATATAATAAAGGGTTGTGTTTCTTGTCCACTAAGCTCACATCTTTGTTGAGCTTTACTTTCATAATGTCAAAAAACTCATTGCATATTCAAACCTTTTCCTTTTGCATCTTTTGCCAAAGTTTTAACAAGCTTCCTTTTCTGATTTTCATTTTATAGTATCTTCTGCTTTTGTTGAATGCAGAAGATAAAGGGCTGTGTTTCTTGTCCACTAAGCTCACATTTTTGTTGATCTTTAGTTTCATAATGTCAAAAACTCATTGCATTGCATGTTCAAACCTTTTCCTTTTGCATCTTTAGCAAAAGCTTTCTTTCTAATTTTTATCTTATTGTATCTTCTGCTTTTCTTGAATGCAGAAGAGAGGATTGTGTTTCTCTCAACTAAGCTAACATTTTTGTTGAACTTTACTCTCATAGTGTCTAAAACCTTTTCCTTCTGCATCTTTAACAAAAGTGTTTGACAGATTCCCTTTTTCTGATTGTTATCATATGCTTTTGTTGAATGCAGAAGAGAGGGTTGTGCTTCTTTCCAAGCTGTTTGATACCAACATGCATTGCCTGAGATTCAAGAAAACTTGAGAGGAGCCAATGTACATACAAGTGAAATAGAGAACAGATACGTAATTGGATGATATTTAATCCAAAAGGGACCAAGAAGATTTCACCATTATATATATAGTCACATGATTACTGTGACAAGCTCTTTTGTTGTTTAGTTATTCTTTGGTTTTTACCGTTTGGTTTTTGTTGGGGTGTTTTAGTTTGTCTTTTTCTATGTACTTTTGGGTGAAATCATTGATGATAGGTCTTGAACTTTGGTTGTAAAAACTCTGAACCAGAAGTTTAAAGATGCCTTTTTTTTGTTCCTGTCAGATATATTCCTAAATGATGAATATTCATTTCATTGATTTATGTTAGTAGGTTCTTTATTCAGAGTTATGCTAAATGCCAATGACCATACTAAAATTTAAGTTTTGTACCAAATGATGTTGTTAGGTTATTAATTCAATTAAAGGCAATTAATTTTCTCTTTTGATTCTAGGGTTTGTGGAAATGCAATTAATTCAATGTTTTTCGAAACATTTTCGGATTATACATTCCAAAACTTAAAATAAAAACCTTAAATTAAAGGATAATGTATTTTTTTCGACCTTGTTAAAGCACCTTCATAATACAATTTTCACTTTAAATATTTTATTAGTGGTATGACACAAGAGCAAACCAACTTAGACAAGTTTCTGTCGCATTATACATAATAATTATCACAACATTATACTTAATCGCAAGACATAAAGAACAAGTATACTACTACATGTGAAACCAATCAAAATTATTTAGAGGTCAATGATTTCTACATAAACATTAATCAATATTTTCGATGGTTTATTGTGCTGCCTTTTGATCATTTAGCCAACTAATATTAATCTTCCATTAGTGCTCTATGAGATATCTTAATATTATTTTTCTGTTGGAAAAAAGAAAAAAAGAGAGTTTATCATTTCTAAAATTTGGGATGAACTTACTATGTCATCGTTATTCATTTTCAACCGTTAGATTAGCTATGGAAGTTTGATGAAGGAATTATTCAAAATTACCAAGATAAAATTTTCTTAATATTAAAAATAAAAAAGAAGAAAATTAAAAAATATTTACTAAAATTAGTTTAAATTAAATTTTTTTTAGAGATAATATGAACATTTTACTTTTAAAAGAACTTTTTTGATTTTTTTTCCCTTATCCAAACATACTCTTATTGTATTTTTCGTGTTATCTTTATTTACAGGGAATTTGTTACTGTACCTTATACGTTTCTTCTTGTACCCTTATAAAAATATTCTCATTTTATCTTTTTTGAATTGTAAAATTCAAAAGAAGAAAATATTTATGGATTTTGTAATTTAGATACTTTTTAAAAATTTGATTTTTTTTTTAAAATTACTTTTGGATTACATAATCCAAAAGTAAAAAATAGTTAAGAAAAAAGCAACTTTTCAATTGTATAATCAGGTTTTTAATTTTTAACTTGTGTAATCTAAAAATATTTTCTTAAGAAAAAAAAATTGAATTACATAATCTTAGAGTACTTTTTACTTTCAGATTTTGCAAAGGATAAAACAAGAATTTTTTTATATAAAAGTGCAAGAAAAAATATATAAAGGTGCTGGGAGAAGCTGCCATATTTACATTATGTAAAGCATGTGGTAGGAACTCTTGGTCCATTCTCATTGCATGGGCTGAGTCCAACACAATTCACATGAGGCCCAATAGCTATTGAAAAATTTTCATATTTGGTAATGTATTGTTACTCAACTGTACAAGTTTTAGTAAAATGACTATTTTAGACTAATTTCTCGATAACGTTTTCTATAATAGAAATAAAAAATGAAATGTTCTTTTATAAAAATTAAAATTCATTTTTTAATTTTTTTTATTTATGTACAAACTAATTTTAATTTTAAAAAACAAACTATTTCCTTTTTATTTTAATATTTTAAAGGGTTTTATGAAGAATTTTGTCCTTCTGTACTCTTAATATAGAACTTAGCCTGACACGTGTTCTATTGAGAGATATATTTAATTCATATATGTTTTTATTTTATATTATTAAAATACTTATAAAGTTGTATGGAAATTTGTGAGTATATATATATATATATATATATATATATATATATATATATATATTTACACGAAAAAATGGTTGTCTCTTACTTTTTATATCGTCAACATATTCCTTACTATATAGTTTATTGACTAAGTTATTTGAAATTTATACTGTGACCATCGACTATTGTAAAATAAATAATTCAAAAAATTTGAATAAAAGAAGATATTCAACTAAAGCAAATAAAAAATTAAAATAGAAATTCTAGTATCATGTTTTATTTATGTACAAATCACATTAATTATTATTTGTATTGTGTATTGTAGAATTAATATCTAAGTAATTGAGCAAATTGGTATAAGTTTTAATGTGTGAAAACTGTTTTGAACCAACTCACTAAGATAGAATACCAATATAAATAATTAATTAAGTCCATGTTCACTTAAACACAAAATGTGTTTGATGTAAGCTAATATAACAATGAGTAGTGTTGTACGAGTGTTAGGTGTTTATGAGTGTTATGGTGTTTTGTGAATGTGATGATATTGTGGTGAATGTATTTGGTAATTATGTTGAAGGGATTCCAAGGAGAAATTCTTGATAGTAATAATTTTAGTGTATGCATTAACACATGGTATTCAATATGGGGGTATTCTGACGCTTTAATAACCATTCATACTCAAATAGAGTGGAATAGTCTATGGATTTTGGTTGATCTTAAGCCTAAAGAGGATTAATCTTGTGTGTGGTTGGATTATAACCCTTTGAGACTACGACTATGTATAGTTTAGAAATCAATACAAATATTTCATGAGTTCCTATGTCAAGGACATGTATCCAGATAATTGAGTTTAGTTTCAATTGTTTTGTGAAAATATATAATTGATGGTATCTTATCTGTGCTTAACTAATATTTGATATAGTTTAAATATCTTATAATAAATATTTTGTTCACTCGCTTACCCTGTATTTTTTTGTTTTGTAGTTCTTTTAAGATGAACACTTCACAATGTAAGCCAATAGTGAGGTAGGTGATGATGGCCTTTGGTACAAGGATGCATCAAAGTAATTTTATAGTTTTGTGTAGATATTTAGTTTAAGAGCTTTTCTATTTTGAAAAACTTAAATAATCTATAGTTGGTGTGGTATATATATGTTATATTACTATAGTTATTAAAATGAATAACTACATTAATATCATATATTTTTATCAAATGTTTTGTTTTACTAATTTTATAATATTTTACTTTGTAATTTTATATTATTAAATGGGATGATAATATATATCTATATTATATATTCTGTGTTTACATTAATTTTTTAAATTTATCTTTTAAATATACTTTTTAAATTAAAGTAATTATTATTTTTTTCAATTTGTTATTTTTTAAACCCATTCTATTAATTATAAAACTATTTCTAAAATAAATAAAACTATTTCTAAAATAAATAAAACTATTTCTAAAATAAATAAAAATATTTACAATAAAGTTACAAAATCATTTATATTTAATTTCATAATTATAATACTAAAAATAATAATTATAATAATAAAAATAATTATTATTATTTTATTTTTTTTATTATAAAAAGATAAACACACTGGTAAATATAGTATTAAACTATATAAGAGTTATCACATAATTAATAAAATAAAACAGTCGACAACACAAGAAATAAAAGTTTCATCATAGTTATACAAAACATAACTATAATTTTAACTCTGTACAATTTAGCTTAAAACAAAACTATAAATTTAGAAATTAATCTATAGAAGACTAAACATTCGTTATCCCGCCAGCAAATGCCTGCTCCATAGATATTTCATCACCCTCTGCTCACACCCATTGGATGATCATAGCCACTATTACAGAGCACAAGAACATACAACAAAACACAAACAAAAGGGCAAGCTAGTGGAAACAAAAATACCTTAGAATAATTAATACATCAATATCAATCATGAATTCCTAAGAAAAATTAATAAAACATGCTATACATCTAATCCACCTAGACTTGACTCATTCACCTATTGTATGAATGTCGAACTATGATAGTTTATGCACTTGTAATAGTAATACAAGTGGCCTACCCTAGCTACCATGCACAAGGTTAGTTCTTTAACAAATTTCTTTAGCCAAAACAAGGCCCCTAGATAAGGACCCCTGCTACTCTCACTACATACCTCACCCCTTTCTACTTGGATGATCATTAGAGTGTCAGGATAAAGTCCAGTACAAAGCTCAATACATTCATACACACAACACATGGTAACCATACAACACATGGTAACCATCAATAAAAAGTTCCTTCTTGGTACTATTTTTCCACAACTTTCCATTCACAAAGATAACATATACTCAAAGTATTTCAACAATAAAAATTCATTTATAATAATTTGAAAATAATAATCATACAATAACAATTTTTTTTCACAATAGTTTGATACCCACTCTAGGCACGAAAAACAACCTTGAAACCCTCATCAACAACTCCATAAGGGTCCAAAACCCCCAAAACAACGTAAAGAATGTCCAAAACTGACATCCAGAACCCTGAATTTGAGATCCCAAACCACATGGTCATTGTTAGACAATTCGTTACCTAGATGATCTCTTATTTAAACGACTTCTTCCCAAACGACTCCTTACCCAAACGACTCTTTACCTAGACGATCTCTTACTAGATGATCTAGACAACTCCTTACCCATACAATCACTTACCAAATGATCTAGACGACTCCTTACCTAAACGATCTCTTACCAAACAATCTCTTACCCAAACGATACCTCCTTATTAGAAAATCTCTTACCAAACGACTCTTTCTTAGACAATCTCTTACCCAGACGATCTACCAGATTTTTGTACACTAAGAGACTAACTAAGCTCTAAAAGGCCCTAAGACAGATCCCAATACTGCATACTTTCTCCACACCCATGATGTTAAAATCTTAACTGTTAAACCCCCCACTTTTATGCCCAAAAATCACTCTTCTTCTAATTTATCCCATATCCAAGTTCTATAAAAACACACCAACTCAAACTCATTAAATCTACATTCATAAATTCATTCAATAAACAAATTTTAATAGCAGCAAACCAGACACACCAACATACATCAAGTTTCAATTCAATACACCAACTTTCTCAAACACCCAACACACCAAAAATTCATGATTTAATCAAAGTTCACAAATCAATCATCACATCATCATACAAATATCAAATATTATATCATACCAAATCCAAACCAAATAAACTAACTTCCCTT